GGATGATGCCACAAGAACTTGCTCCGTATTGACATATTTACAGTTCTGTGCAAAATTAAAACTGAGCAAATTTTATATTTTGTTGATATTTGTGAACAGAAATACAACCCTTGATGAAAACATTAAAAATCAGCTTTTCTTCACTAGGATCAAAGATCCTTAGAAAAATGTTATGGCACATAAAGACAGTACTTTGTAATTCCCTCTTGTGTAATTGCTCAGGGCGACCAGGTTACAAAGGTGGCCTTTTGTAGATATTAACAATACTTGAACAAAAGGCAGAGGTGAGTAGGTGAGTCATGTTTTCATATAGTGACTCTGTAGTTATTACTGTGCATTGATGGCTCTTCTGGCTTAAACAAAGGTAAACAGAGGTCTTGTTAAGGTGGAACTGTTCACTGTTAATTTGCATTATATTTGCATATATCATCTCTCTGCAGCTAGATAAAGGTGTAATATGCACTGGCTTCATTATCATTAAAGTTTTAGAGTAGCTTATGCTGATCCTGATGTTCATAAAGTTCAGGCCCATCTTACTCTGTCAGCATAAAGCCTATTGGCTTGCCTGATTGAGAGTGTTGTACTCCCTGCTCTAATTAAACAATGTAATTTTAATTTTGGCTCCATGTCCAGTCTGGTTTGACTGCCATAGCTGGTCTTGTAGCATGGTATTTGGGTGACTACTTGACAAAGGCTCACACTATCCCATAAGGCCTCACTGCTGTGATTACATTTATGTGGACGGATGAATGTGTATTAATAGATGTTCTCTTTGTGTTTTTACGAGTTTCCAGTGTAGTGCTGATATAAAGGGTTGTTGCACAGTTGCCTATGTTGTAAAATTCAGAACACACAGTATCTGTGTGTAATCCTCTGACATTTGGCAAATTCCAGAGATGGAGCAACTGTATTTGGCATTAGCTGTTGAATTGTTTTGAGTTCTGTAAACTTCCTTATTTGATCTTTATTGCGATTTTGCACAATTAAGATCCGCATGACATCAGGGTGAGAGGATGGAAACTCTAATGTACAAGTTTTGTCTCTCCTTAATCCTTAACCCCTGCTACGCCCTTGCATCCTCTGGGACTCTGTAAAATGTCCACCCCCAAAGTAATGAATATCCATCCATCCATTATCTTTACCACTTATCCTCATGAGGGTTGCGGGTTGCTGGAGCCAATCCCTGCTGACATTGGGCGTGAGGCAGAGTACATCCTGAGCAGGTCAAAAATAATGAACATTTTTTCATTGTCCTATACAGCTTGGTATAGGACTTTGGAAGAATCAAGCTTTGGAAGTCTCTCTATAACTCTACTTATAGGGGCGACTGTGGTTCAGTGGGTAGAGTAGCTGTTTTCCAACTGGAGGGTTGGAGGTTCAAGTCTCGGTGCCTGCAGTCCATGTCGAAGTGTCCTTGGGCAAGACACTGAACCCCCAATTTGGCCCCGATGGTTAGAGCCATTGGTTGAGTTAGCGCCACAGATGGCTGCCTCGGTTTCGTACCGGAAACAAATTCCTTGTGCGTAACATACTTGGCCAAATAAAGGTTGTTATTAGTGTTATTAGTAGTAGTAATGTTGTCATGTAGAGACACACCCTAAAGGCCAATTTATGCAAGCTGGGTTGGTATCCTAATGTGCTGTAATCACTTTTTACTCGGATATACAGTACACTTCAGTTCCAGTAAAAGTCATTTGGGCAAACACAATTCTATAAGCCCAGCCCATGGTTGTGATAATTTTTATCTGTTAATTCCAATCATCCAAACTCAATGTGTCACCTGAGATCACAAATAAAATGTATGTGCTCAGCAGCAGCTTTGGGAGACATCTGACTCTACTTGTACATTAACCTTACAGCCCAGTATTATTTGAACTGCACAATGTAAATTCAGTTTTACTGTGGACTTTCCCTTGAAGTCATGATGAGCTTGTGTTGGATTATGTCAGTGTTTCTTTTACATTGAGTCCAATGTTTCCCATACATTGACTTACTTGTGGTGGGCCGCCACAATATCAACATTGACCGCGACATATTGATTTAAAATGCGATTGGTTACGATGCTGTTTTGTGCGTAGCGCACTATTTGCTCAGTCCCTCCATGCACTGCGGTCAAATCAGCCGCCGTTCAGTTTTCCGTAGTCAAGCCAGCCGCGCTAGAATTTGAAGTGCGCCTATATACTCTATATACTTACATTACACAAATAATCAAGCATTTCTACTGCACCATTCTAGAAAAAACTCACATTAAAGATGTGACTCCAATGCTGTATTATTTATGAGCTTCCAAGTTTAATAAAAACACTTTTTTAAATATTTACAGCATAAGGACATCATTTATGGATTCTACATGACCCGCACTGTTACCACACAAAGAATCAAGCATTTCTACTGTACCATTCTGGAGAAAACTCACATTACAGCCAATGTCGGTACGCTGTATAGCATGGATGTATGTATACGGACTCCTCTGCAAGTGGATAAAGTTCATGCTAGTTCATCAACTGTGACCCTGAATGTTTGCCTCCTCAGACCAGAGGAATATCGAAAAACACTGGAACGCTGATCAGTGTGATTAGCGATCCAGTTGATTCCTTTAGATTTACTGGTGTTGCTGAAGGAACAAGAGAGGGTCAGGAAGAGATGGCTGAGGAGAAGGGCAGAAACCAACATGCTGTTGTGAGAGAGCCAGCTACTGCAGGAGGGAAAGTCATATGAACAGCACAGAAGTAGCCTAATATAGTATCACTACATTTAATTTAAAAAATGAATGCGTGACATCAGTCCCCCCTGCAAGCTGTGCCACAAGTAGAATCTAATTCTGTGGGAAACACTGGAATTTGTGAAATTACTCTAAGAAGTTTCATTAAGCTTTGCAGGAAATTATAAAATTTTATATTGCAATGAAACCCTTATTCCCACTGCAGTGCTGCTCTGTGTGATCTGTTCGTTTGACTCTGTAGATTTGTTTCAGTCTCTACCCCAGGGCCAATGAATGCCTTCTAAATCCAGTGGAACATTCATGATGGGCTTGATGTTAACACACACACACATAGTACACAAAGGGTTGGGACAGAAACAAGCAGGAGGGACGTAAACAATGTGTGACATTACATTTTTCTGAGTGGCTTGTTGATTTTTGTTCTGCTTTGTAAGATCTGGATCCTGAGTTAGTAATGTTCAGGTGACACATGTTTTACAGTCCCAAATGGAAGCAGCAGTTAGGCAGCACACCCCACTGGATTTGTCTCCATCCATTTTTGTTTCAGCTTAATTGAAGCTAGTAGCCATGCTAAGTGTGAGGATGCACAGAGTGCAGTTTAGCCAAGTCCAAAACATTTTGACATGATTCAGGTTGTTTCTGAATAAACTAAATTTTAAACTGACAGATTAGCATCCAAGTTGGAAAATGGTTCCTCAGGGGGTTGTTGATTAGTAGGGCATGATGAAAAAGCTTTCCTTGAAAGATAAAGTGGAGTGAGAGGGAAAAATGAGATGTGATCAGGAATATGGGCCATGACTGAAGAGTTGTTTTTTTTTTTTTTTCTTCCATGCAGTGTGTGTACTAGAAGTTGTCTGGCTGATAAATGTCTCTTCCCAGATCTCAGTGGGTTGTGATTCCTCCAAATGAACTGAAATTGCCTCTCCTATTACTCTTCTGAATAGCAGGCGATAGCAGAATAATTGTGCAATTAGGGCTCCATTATTACTATAACCCTCAATATTTCACTTTGATACAATCTGTTCACTTTTTGCTTACGAGATGTCATTTTGGGGGTCTGCAAAGAAACACACTGCTGTTTTTCATTTACTTTTTCTATTTCTTTTCCTGTATACTTTGCTGTGTGAACAGTAGTTTTAAGAACTAGATGGAGCAGATGAGATCCTTTTGCTTTTCATTAGGTATGCATAGTTTAACTGAAAATAATTTAACATAAGAGTCTTTCTTTATTTGTAACTGATCCTTTGTCTGTTATCTCCCCATAAAAACCAAATAAAAGATGAGATTATTTTCCTTCTCTCTGCACTCTCCATTCTCTTATTTGCTATCTGCCAGGAGGCACTGCTGTCTCTGTTCCCTTTTGTTTTATTCTGTGTCCATTATTCCTTCTCCTCTTTCCACCATCTCTCAATGTGCTAGTGACCCTATACAGTAGGTACCAGCTAGTCCCCAGTGCTGGGAACAAGTGGTCTCATATGACTTGGCAGGAGCTCAGTTCAACGTTGGAAATCCAACAGGGTCATAGCGCTGGATCTTTATTGCACAACATTAGGGCAAAGATATGAAAACATCTGACAGATGACCTCAACATGTGTTATCAACAGTATACCTCCCTTTGGGACTCTTAATCATTGTGTTTGTGTGTGTTTTTTTGTCAGTGTATGACTAATCTGCTTGTTCTCAGTAGCATGACGTTAGCCTCTGCCTTTTCCCCCTGTTCCATGCATGGTATGCCCAGATCTTGGTGGATTTTTGGCTGCTTAGTCTGGATTTACAACATTTAATTTCAAGGCTCGCTTAACACGTTTCAATCAGTGAGTTTCCATACGCCAGGCATCGGGGGATTAGTTAATAGGAGTAAGAGAACATTGTGAGATATATCCAACAATATCCCACTTGGTACAGTGTCTACATGCTGATTACAGCTGTGGATGTGGTGCTGAATAGGGATCAGGTTGCTCCTTTTTATGCTTGCAGCACTGGATACCAGCTGATGTTAACAACTATAGAGCGATACAGTGTCTTTAATTGTACAATTAAGATGCATCTTTCATTGTACAATACAATTTGGGGTCAGAAGGGTGGTGTATGTGGTATCAATGATAAGAAGGTACTGGGATACATGTTACTGTCAGCAATCAATTACCCTGGTGGGAAAAAAATAATTTACTGATTAATTAAAATAAAATTATTATGCGTATGCACCCTCCCACTTGTTAAAACTAACGTCTTTCTCTATTTCATCCTCTGTCTTGCTTCTCTATTCCTCTACTCCTAGCAATGGACACCAAAGCAGTGTTTGTAGCCCTGTACAGCGTGTGCGAAGAAAATGCTGCTTTCTTCTCCGGAGGAGCCAAGGGGTCACAGGGTGAGGCGGCACGGCGGCTGGTGGATGCCATGACTCTGATCCAGGAGCACGCACGCAGTCTGGAGCCTGTTTTCTTTGGGATTGCTGCAGTTTACCATCATTTTGACTTTGACCCACACATACCTGCCAATGGCTATCGCTCACTCATCAAGGTAGGCTGGAGGATGTATCGAGGTGTATCTGTGTGTATGAGTCAAATCTTGGATCTGTGTTCTCAACTCGGTGCAGCTTTGAGAACAATATAAGAAAACATTATCGTCAATATTTTTTTCCTGCTACTCTTTACCTTTATTGCTGTTTCAAGGTCAGTTAATTTGTTTTACAGATTGATTTTATGTTGCAAATCAGGTTAGATAAGTTCCTCCAGCAGCAGAAAATCCACATCACTGTACTCACTGTACTTTATCTTCTACAGTTATTGATGAAACATGATGACCTTCAGTGATTCTAATAGAGCAGCAAATGAATGCTGCTCTGTTTTCTAGCCTCTCGATTTCCACATTTTTAATCCCTCTCATCCCTGCAGTGTTAGTCTAACTAATCTGTAGCGCCCCTGTAAAGCAGCAAGCCTTTCAGATGCTCTTGTTCAAGCATGCTATCACACATTGTTTTTGTTTTTTTTCTCCCTTCAACCCTGCCACACTAATCTTAATTACAGTTTACGCAGGCCCAAGGGACATTCCAGCACAGATTGCACAATTAAAGAACTATGTTTTACTTTATGTTAAATGCTGTGTTTTTATTTTTAGAAAATAAATGATATGAGGCTTGTTATTCATTATTCCAAGAATGCATCTAATTACATATATTATTTTATGTTACCCAATGATACGGTTTACCCAGTTTTTGCTTGGAATTTAATTTGGGTAACCTTGTGTTTAGGGTAAATACATTGGATTTAGTAAGATGATGGCACATTTTCAAATTGTTGATTTCACATTTTGAAACAAAACTCAAATTTTCCTTGTATGGACACATTCTCCCATACTTTTTCTAGGTTGTGCGTTGCTGCCTTCTCCACATCATCCATAAGGGGCGCTACATCACTGCCAACCGGCATAGAATCTTTTTCCGAGCAGCACACAATGCAGGGGAGATTGAGGCGTACTGCAGTGCCCTGTGTCAGCTGCGTGCCCTGCTCTATCTGGCTCAGCGCCTGCTACAGGACACCGGCCATGGTGACCTTTTTTTCCACGATGAAAGTGGCCTCAGCGAGAGCTTGGTCCATGAATACTCATCCATGCATAAGGGGTGCTTCTATGGCCGTTGCTTGGGCTTTCAGGTGAGTTAATGAGAGCGGCTGAACCCTCAGTGGACAGAGGTCAAAACTAATGGGAAGAAATTATGAAAACTGCCTAGTAATTTGTAACAGCTAAGACTCCTCTGATATTCTAATATCCCATCATCTGTTTTCACTTGCTCTGGTTGAATGATTGCAGTTTTAATTAGTGTACACTCAGTTGGCAGTTTATTAGGTACACCAAACTAAAACTAATGCAATCCTGTAATAAATCCTCCCTTCATGAAGGTGATGATGTTTTTTGTTGAAACAATTTTAGAGAGGTGTTGATTCAGCTGTGATTGTTGTGGGGGTTGTAGTTTCTGGTTGAATTGTCCGGCATTATACAGAGCGCTATTTCCGCTATTTAGCTTAGCCTCATTGATATAGATGGTGTGAAAAAATAATAGAAACAGCACCACAAACTAGGTCTTCCAAAATGATCAGGGCTATTACACTGTATTGGTTTTATCTTGTACATAATAAACTGACAACAGAGAGTAGTTCTTTTTTGTAAAGGGACCATGGAATTAGACCTTAAAGTCTGTCTGGGTTTTTGTTCACCCCTCCCTCCTCCCCTCAGTTCACTCCAGCCATTCGGCCCTCGCTCCAGACCATCGCTATTGGTCTTGTGGCCTTTGGAGAAAACTATAGACGCCATCAGTCAGGAATAGGTCAGCATTATCTTCTCTGCTGCTACACCCTCTCATCATCCAGACACTTCGTTCTCATTCACATATCGTACTCTTCCATCCTCATGCCTCTCCTACACTGCTCTTTGGCCCCTCACTGTGTACCTTTTGATGTTGTGTGCTTGGATTGTAGATGCTCTTTCATCCCTTGGAATCTCTAGGGCTTGCTAGTGTGCTTCTATATTTCAGAATGTTTGAACATGCACACAGTTATGTACAGAGGCAGAGACAGAAGAATAAGCACATCATACGGATTTGCACCATGCACACATGCACAGACACAAAACTGAATATTTTAACATTCAAACATTTGATGCTCATGGTTTTTTTGTGCTCTATGCTGCACCACAGTGGAGGCAGGAGGCATTGCTCCATATGGTGAGTGCACTGGAACCCACACAGTCCTCTATAGTGAGATGAGAGGCTTGATGACTATATAAAGAGGTTACTTCTATCTTACAACTTCTCTTATCCTAAATGGTTCTGGGCACAGCTGCATTAGCTGTCTTATCTGTATATTAGTTTTGGACTAAAGTGTGAGGTACCTAAAAAAAATTTTGATCTTTCCCCTTTCTTTAGTGCCTGTCCTTGACTTCTTGGAGAGCATTAAAACCATCTGGATTAACTTAACACTAGAGTGCTAGATCTGAAATATATGGCAAAAAGATTATAGTACTGTGAGGATGTAAAAGCCATTTCATCGTGTCGAGTTTAAGTTTCTGTGTTGTATTCACGTTTCTGAAGTTTGCCATGCTTTAGCACTCTTTTCTCCTCTTGACCATCTTTTTTTCTTTGATTCTTGCATCTGTCTTCTTTTGTTATCTCAGTGAGTTTATGTTTTCTAATATTGTTGTTTTATATGCTAGGGTCCAGACACTGCAACTTTAGTGTTCCCTCACTTCTGCCCTTCTTCCTATTGTTTTTGTGAACTCTGTTCTCATAGCCATTATTCAGTGTCTTTGCAGATCACTTTTCATTCCCATTTTTATTACCCCCTCGATCATACACATTCCTCTTTCTTTTTAACTTGACTCATTTCTTTTCATGCCTTACCCTGTTTCTGGTGTCTCCTACCCACTATATTTCCAAAACGTACTGTGTTGTCCTTCCACAGGTGTAGCAGCCAGCTCTTTCTTTACCTCAGGGAAGTATGTCATCGACCCAGAACTGAGAGGGGCACAATTTGAATGCATCATCCAGAATTTGGATGTCCATTTCTGGAAGGCCTTCTGGAATATCACTGAAATTGAGGTCCTGTCGGTGAGTGTGTGTATGTATGTGTGTATATATGTATATGTGTGTGTGTGTGTGTGTGTATGTGTGTATATATATATATATATATATATATACCGTATATATATATATATTTTTTAATGCTTCTTTTAGCCTAACATGCACAGACAGGCACACGCTTCTGTAGGCTCCCCATGGTGTAATTGCCAACACATAGAAGGACACTGCTGTTTTTTTTTTTCCATTTTAAAACTGTATTAGGTATATTTTACTTTCTTCTGGTAAAATATCTTTCTATCATTAATGCATTTTGGCCTACGGGTCATTAGTAATAACACAGTAGGATTCAATTTATGCAGTGAGGTTCATGATTTATTCATCTGGTTTCTCTTTCTCCCCAGTGACCTGACTTGATCTGTAATTTACACTTTTCTCATTCTCTTTTCTCTCTTTCTCTGTCTTTCTCTCTATATGTCTGTCTCTTTCTTTTTCACCATCATCTTTCTCCCTTCATTATCTCTCTCCCTCCAGAGTTTCACCAGTATGACGTCCACTCAGGTTAAGGTGAACCAGAGTTTTTCTGTGCCTCCCATGCCCTTTGACCTTCCCCTGGCAGCCAACCCTGGAGCATCTGTGACTATAGATCCACCATCAGCACATATCGGCACTGCCCCTGTTCAGATGAGGCTCATCTCTTATGACCTGCATGAAGGACAGGTACTTAAAACATCATTTACAGTTCTCACTATAGTATCAAACTGGAGAACACAGTTAAAAAGCTCCATGGTTAAAATTTTTTGCAAAACCAATGCATCTCTTAGACTAATTGTTGATTAGTATTTGCTGTTTACTTGTCTTACACTGCTTCCATGTAGACCTAGTTTTACTCCACTGGGTCTTCTTCTTAAACCACTTTGCATATACCAGTCATAGAAATCCTTAAAATATTCTAACAATATTTAATAGCATCCCTGGTATTTCTCTTAGCTGTTTGAGTAAACAACAGCTTTGGCTCATCCCCATGGTCGTAATCCACTTCATTCAGCATCGTTCTCTCTCCCTCTATTTCTCTGTCATAGGTATCACTCTCCATATAGACTCCTCTCTCCATCTAAGCTTGTTCTTTTAGACATAAAACTAGACATTTTATCAGTGAGCACTCTGCCATCGTCTATGCACCACTGTAACAGCATTCTTTCTTAATGATGCAAAATCCAAGTCTGCATCAGTGAAAACCGTCCCTCTCAGCCACAGCTTCCCTCCCTCATTGTTTCTGTCAGTGAATGGGAATTAGTGTGCGTTCATGCAGGCACAGGATGGGCTGGCAGCAAATGAATCCCTTTCTCATATGAGTCTTGTTCCTAACACTAACAGTTAAATACATTAACAGGATTTATTTGCAGTGGACACAGTTTGCATACGATTCCTTTGATTGAACGAAACATTGCATTCTGGTGCTTTTGAAGTTGGAGCTAAAGAGTAGAGCTCTATTTCTAGTCTTACTTGATAAATAATCCCATTTTGTCTCACTTTCTCCAGGATAGTAAGACTCTGTTGTCTCTCTCCTGCTCTGACGGGAGTCCCATCTCTCTGTCGCTGGGGTTGAAGACCAAGTGCCTTCCCTCTTCTCCCTGCCTGCTGATCCACTTCCATGGGGGAGGCTTTGTGGCCCAGACCTCCAAGTCCCATGAGGTGAGACTGTACTCTCTGAGTCTTTTTTTTTTTCCTTTAAACTTTGCAACTGACTCGTGTCTGTATGTGACAGTGTTTGACGGTATTTATAATGGAACTCTTGGTCAAAATGCAGCATCACTGCATTATTATAATACGTTATGGGTCAGCTACATATCCATATACTGACACCTCTGCCACTGTTCTGATGGCTTAGATGTTGTTTTTCCAGGAGTCATCTGGCTGTGTCTTCTCAGACTAATTGTAACTGAACTAGACACTAGTAGCTGACAGTGAAGGGATACCAGGCCCATCAGTAGTGTCATGTAATTAACATAATTATCCATCCATCCATTTTCCTCCGCTTATTAACATAATTACTAAGTAATTAATCCCTGAAAACTTTTGCCTTCCCTCCATGTTTTCTTTACTGCTGAGCTGAACACAAAGCTGGCTCTTCTCTTTAATGTAAATCATTGTTTGTCCTCCTCTTTCTGTTGTTGTTGTTGTTGTTGTTGTTTTTATGGAGGAGTAGGAGACCATGCCCTAGATTTAATTTGTGGATAGATCGCTGCTAGAAAACCGAACACTAGTCATGGCCTTTGTCTCTTTGAAAACTATGTTCGATCTGTCTTGTCATTGCTCTGTAAAGCATTTAAAGAAAAACTTGTTCTGTAAATTAAATGTAGTTTAAATGAGTGACAATATATGAAATAGTAGCAGAAGGAAGCATTCACCTGGTTAGTTTAGAAAGATTATTTTAACATCGTTTGTCATGGTTTGCTGTCTTGCTCCTTGCTTCTGACTGACTGCCCACTGCTGATGTGGTCATCTGAGGCTGTGTGTGCAATCTTTGTGGCACCAGGATACTTACAGTTACTGTAAGACAGGGCTCTGCAGATTTGCCAAGGACATGGGCATGGTTGATTTGCAGCTGCTTAGCAACCAGGGGATGAGAGGTAGCTATCGGAGAAGGCGCTGAGCAGGACTGTCATGTTGAATTAACAGAGAATTGTACAACCCCACAGAGAAAGATTACCTCGGGCACTAATGGAAGACTTGTCAGACTATCCTTCTTTCTTCTTCTTCTGGGCTCTCCTCTTTTATTACATCCTCCCTCTCAGTCTTTAATATCTTACAAAGTCCTTTTTTTTTTTTTTCACTTAGTGACCATTCCACATCTCCTTCCTGTCTTATCTGGGAAACATGTCCTTGCCTCCCTCCTTATGTTACTAGGTGCCTTCTGCTCACTTAATCCATCAAGCAAGGGTTCCTCATATCTCCCCTTACTCCTGTATCTTTTCCTCCATCATATCTCCCCTGTCCTCTGGGCAAAATGGAGTGGCACGAACCTTTTGGAGGCCAGTGAGTCTGAGAGCGCTTGAATGGGTGTGCTGGCATCTTGGGCACAGACACACACAGTGTTTGGACAGTGCAGGTATAAGGTTGCAGATGAACAACTATGCCTGTCTGCAAATGAGTTCTCACACTGCTTCCTGTTTAGAGAACAGATCTGGTATCTTCCTTTGTGAATACAGTGTGCGTGCGCGCACGCGTGCACAGGGACGGTTTCAGACATATGTAAGATTAACCAGCCTTGGTCCCAGTCCAACAGACACACACACACACACACACACACACACACACACACACACACACACACACACACACCCTCTCTGCCCGGAGGGACACTTGAGTGCTTGGCTTTTTATATGCCGGCAGGTGAGGAACTGTCTGACTGACAGTCCTGCCTATGGACTTAAGCACATGTTGACACTCATTCTAGACTGGCAAAAGTGGTTGTTGTTAACACTGAGTTGTGTGCACACACACACACACACACACACCCTAGGAGTGCCTTTGCTGATTCACACAAACTCACACTTCTGACCTGAACAGTGCTTGAACTGTATGCACACTCACTTGTCAGCAGTCTCCCTCCAAGATTTATTATGACAGGTAGGGCTTTAAGAGACGGCACAGCTCCTTGGTGAGGTGACATACAAACATACACACACTGTGCCTTTGCTGGCATTGTGAATGGAGAGTTGTCACTTTCACCGCCAGTCCTGTCATAGCTATTGAGTAAGTGAGATAAAGACAAAGGAGAAATGGTTTGTGAAAAGAATATTTTGTCATGTTTGATGTCTTTCTCATTTCAAGGTCGCTGCTTTGTGTAGTAAAGTACTTGCCTTAGGTTGGTTATAAACACTTAACCTGACTGTGGCAAAAAAGAAAAAGGCAAACATTCAGTGTTCTGACAGTGAGTTTGATTTTGCAGACTGTTTAAGTCCACACTATGCTGCAGTTTTTGTCATTTTTCCTTCATACTCTGCAAAGTAGGACATTTGGGCACCTGAAATGAATTGGAGGTGATTGTGAGGGCAGCGTTCATTCTCCCTTTGTCTAGACAGAAAGCCAAACAGAAGACAAGTGACATCACAGGGACACATCATGTTCATAACTTTTTATCCTTGCTTCTTAATGTTCACCCCCACATATGCCTCTCCCACCACAGTCCTTTCTCTTGTCTCCTTGCCTCTGCCTTTTATTGTGGTTACTGTTGTTTCTCATAAATTTAACACAATATATAATGTAATAACTGAGTTTCCCCCCCCATTTATAAATGTACCTGTCCATACCTCGTGTCTTCTGTCTTGTGCAGCCCTATCTGAAGAGTTGGTCCCAGGACCTTGGCGTTCCCATCCTGTCAGTGGACTACTCTCTGGCCCCTGAAGCCCCCTTCCCAAGGGCCCTGGAGGAGTGTTTCTATGCCTATTGTTGGGCTCTGAGAAACCACCATCTACTAGGTACCAGCGCATCTCACAACATTGTTTTTACAAAGTGCTGACTTTTATCTCCCCATAACATTTACTGTTTACGCTATAGTCATTTGGAAAGTGCATGCAATAGAAATGGTATATACCTTAGGTCGATAAGGGAAGGTTTGTTTATTAGAAGGAGCAGGAACAACAAAGGGGTAAAACTCACTTATTTCAGGGTGAAGGTGTCCTGTACACTGCCTTTGTAAATCCTCACCCACATTTGCCAATTCTCTGTACCTCTCAAGAACATTCATTCATCACTTCGAAAGCAATCATGGTGCAGCACGATGTTGTGCTCTGTACCCACTGTTCTGTGAGCACACACAAATTGTGATGCTCAATATTCAGGAGGAAAACAAGACATCCAGCCAGTTTAGGGTGTATCCCACTGCTGAAGTATGCTGTCAGATTAACAGTGAGTGCAGTGCAATATGTTGGTGTTGTAGTACAACAAGACAGTATCAGGTTCTGAGGCAGCCACCGAGACAACACCCCCTCACAGCAGCCACATATTGAGCAGCATTACAGTGGAGAACAGAGATGCTGTCACTTGATGTGTCACACTGCTTTTTTTGCAGCATAGTAGATTTCCCATATTTGCATAAAATGTTTTTGTCTTTTATTTAATGTTCCTTTTTCAGTTTTTTTCCCTTTGAAATGTCTATTGTTTCTCCCTCTTATTTTCTTCATCTTTATGTTCATGATTCCATTTTTATCTCTACAGGTTGGACCGGAGAAAAAGTGTGTCTAGCTGGTGACAGTGCAGGAGGCAACTTGTGTTTGACCACATCAATGCGCGCTGCTGCGTTTGGTGTGCGAATGCCAGATGGCATCATGGCAGCCTACCCAGCTATTATGCTGACTGCCTATGCTTCACCCTCCCGTCTGCTAGCACTTATGGATCCCCTGCTGCCTTTCAGTGTGCTCACCAGGTGTCTGAGCGCCTACGCAGGTAGGAGTGTGTGTGTGTGTGTGTGTGTGTGTGGGGGGGTATAATTATGCCAGGATTCTTTCTTTTTTTTTAATCTCTAAAGTGTAGAACAATTTTTTTCCTACGTTTTCTTCTGTTCAAGCACTTCTGCCTGTTGCTCCCATCTGATGTTTCAGATGGGAGCAAAACACAAAGTATCGGTATGTCTAGTGATGTGAAACCATGAACTATAATGATAGTTTTTGCTAAATGACAAACCAAATTGATTTTTTTCTTTTTTTTTGGCAAAACTGTTATTTAGGGGATGTTGGCCAACTATGCCTGTTTCTGATGACTGTCTTGTCTGTCCTGTGTCCTTCACTAATTGGGTTAAAATACAAATCATTTCGTGTTCACTCTCAGTGTCTACACTGTGTGCTGCTGTCTGTAATACAAATTGCTGTGCATCAGTCTTGAGCTCACCCTGTCTGGGTTATTTTTTTTTCTCTGCCGTTATACTTTTCCTATTACTGATTTCCCATATTCTCTATTGTGTTGTTTGTGCTTATTCAAGAAAAACAAAAGCACTTTCATCTATATTTTCCTCATAACTCTTCATTTATGTCTCCTCTTGCAGGCAATGAGCCACATACTGAGAAGCAGGTAGAGAAAGTGAGCACACTGAGCCTGGTGAGGAGAGACACGGCGCTGCTGCTGCGAGATTTCCGACAAGGAGCCTCCAACTGGATCTACTCTCTACTGGATCCTAACAGAGCCTCGGCCTCCAACAGCAAGGCTACAGAGGCACTACCAGGAGCCACTGGTATACCACTTTCTGTATATGGGTGTGTTTGTGCATAGATTCATGTGGGTAGTATAAATGTGTTTTGCTTGGTGGCTATTGTGTTCAAAGTATCTGTCTTTATCATATCTCCCTCCTGAAAGTAGAGCCCAGATCTTACTGAACGGGGCATGTGTGCGTACACCTCTCACGTTGTCAGTGTCTTCATTAATTAATTTTGTTATGACTGCGACAATATCTAGTGCCCCAAAGTTCATTTGGAGGAGGTCACTGACACAGGTCTGCTTTATTCAGCATTCAACAAGCCAATTATTGTATCCCTCCGTGTTGTGTAACACTCCTGTAGTCCCGCTCATATCACTTCACCTGTTTGTAGCAGCAGGGCTTTGACAGTAGTTGTTAATTGTATCCACCATAAATCAGGTGATAAATTGTAATTTTCTTAGTTTTCCCTTAGCTAGGTGACACCCCCACAGCTGCAAGTCTAAACAAATGAGAGTCTCATTGGTGGGTGGACAATTATTAAAAGGCCATGCTGAGATGGTTCATTATTAAAGAGACGAGAGATGGGTGGCGCCTTGTGAGGGGATCAGTCATGTTACAGTTGTTTTGATGACTTGGGGTGGGCAGATGATATCGCCATGATAGCACCATCTGAATTTCCTCCACCTACTTTTCTTCTTCCTGATATTTCCCAATTAGCATTTTAGGCTTTTAACTGTTGGCCATCAACCAGAGAGCATACGAAAAATGGGAAACAGAATAAGTGAAATTTAGTACTGCTATAGGTGCACTTATTTCTTGTGCCCTCAAGCTGCTATCGGCCCCAAGTGAATTAGACCTGTCTTTTTTTTGTTAATGTTAATTTTTAATGAACTTGCTCAGTTTTTCTTTCAAAAAAACTGTTTTTGTTTTGCAAAGTGTCTCTCTCTCTCTCTCTCTCTCTCTCTCTCTCTGCATCTGTTTATCTATCTCTCTCTCTCTCTGTCTCTTAGATGCTGTCAGGAAGAGCATTTCTGAGGCGTTCATCTCTTCCCCTCACTCAGATCCTCCTGTACCCTCAGAGCTCCCCAACAGGAAATTATCTGTCAAGAGCCAGACTTGCCAGGACTTGGGGTCCCACAGCATTTCCACTTCACACAGTGCATCACTGCTCTCTGAGTGCATTGTATGTCATGCTCGAACATTTTGACATTGAGACTAGCATGCTCTCAGTTTGTGCTCTTTGTATACAAGAAATTACCAGCTAACTTAAAAGAACAACAGGCTGTTGGTGGGAATTTAGCCTGTGATTATAAGAAGGTCTGTAGTTTGATGATCAGGTCATACAGTTGCAGCCTTTTTAAAAGTTTGGAGATATTTTTTGCCTTCTGTCATGCACACAAACAGGTGTAGCTCTAAAATGCTGACTGAATATCAAAATGTTATAGTTTTGCCAGTACTGGAAATGTATTGCAGATTATCCTTGCATGTATTTTCACACAGACAGACTGGATTAGTGGCTGGCTTGGTGGGAAAATAGCAAGCGGAGGTCATGTAAGATTTTAAACATGCTTTACCTCCTTGAAATAGGGGACTGTTCAGTCAGGACTCTCAGGCACTGATCCAAGGTTTTTAGAAGGACAGCGTTGTGTGCGTCTGTGTCTGTGTGTATATGTAACCATGTTTGCTTGTCAAATATTTTGTCTTTGTTTATATTTTTGACCTTGCCTTCTCCTTTGACTACTCAGTGCTGTCAGGATAAATTCTCATCTCTTCTTTCATCTAGCCAGAAGAGGTGAGTTTCTTCCTCTCCGAAGAATCAGAGCCCTCCATGTCCAGTGACCTGTCTTCAATGGCCATACCACCCCCTGCTGGAGAGGAGAGATCAGAGTTTCGTCCCATAGAGTTTCCCTTTGGGTTTGAGCCACTGCGTTCAGAGCACCTGGCTGACATGAGGGTGCAGAGCTCTCCAGTGGTCAAGGATCCTTTCTGCTCTCCTCTGCTGGCACCTGATAGCATGCTGAAAGGGCTGCCACCTGTGCATTTAGTGGTAAGAAGAACCAGCTGTTGGACTGAATGACTGGATGACAGAGAAATATGGCATTTATACAGTTAAATGCCTAAACGCACTCAACTCCCTTGTTAGATAAGTTGTCAATCACTGTGTTAGTTTGACTCCTGCAGTTGTTTAAATCTGGTTGCAGACGTGATCCTCTGAGAAAACCGATAGTTTTTGTCACTTTAACTAGTTAAACTAGGGATATATGGTATTTTTATAGCATGCAGGAGCAGACCAGGATATTGGAACTGTTGTGATGTGATGGTAATGACAAGGGAGAAGCAGAAGGGTTTGGCAAGAGACAGCAAGGCAGCCTCAAAATATTAAGAGGACTGTAAATCATACAATGTTGTACAGGTGCAGCTCAATAAATGAGAATATCGTGGAAAAGTCCATTTATTTCAGTAATTCAACTCAAATAGTGAAACTCGTGTTTTATATAAATTCAGTACACACACACTGTAGTAGTTTAAGCCATTGTGTCTTTTAATTGTGATGATTTTGCTCACATAAAAAAAACCCCCCACCAATTCACTATCTCAATAAATTAGAATACCTCATAAGACCTATCTATAAAAAAAACATTTTTAGTGAATTGCTGGCCTTCTGGAAAGTATGTTCATTTACTGTATATGTACTCAATACTTGGTAGGGGCTCCTTTTGTTTAATTACTGCCTCAATTCGGCGTGGCATGGAGGTGATCAGTCTGTGGCACCGCTGAGGTGGTATGGAAGCCCAGGTTTCTTTGACAGTGGCCTTCAGCTCATCTGCATTATTTTGTTTCTCATTTCTCATTTTCCTTTTGAGAATACCCCATAGATTCTCTTTGGAGTTCAGGTCTGGTGAGTTTGCTGGCCAGTCAAGCACACCAACACCATGGTCATTTAACCAACTTTTGGTGCTTTTGGCAGTGTGGGCAGTCACCAAATCCTGCTGGAAAATGAAATCGGCATCTCCAAAAAGCTGGTCAGCAGAAGAAAGCATGAAGTGCTCTAAAATTTTTGGGTAAACGGGTGCAGTGACTGTGGTTGCAAAAACCACAGTGGACCAACACCAGCAGATGACATTGCACCCCAAACCATCACAGACTGTGGAAACTTAACACTGGACTTCAAACAACTTGGGCTATGAGCTTCTCTACCCTTCTTCCAGACTCTAGGACCTTGGTTTCCAAATGAAATACAAAACTTGCTCTTATCTGAAAAGAGGACTTTGGACCACTGGGCAACAGTCCAGTTCTTCTTCTCCTTAGTCCAGCTAAGACAACCCCATAGAGAATCTATGGGGGATTGTCAAGAGGAAAATGAGAAATGAGAGACCAAAAAATGCAGATGAGCTGAAGGCCACTGTCAAAGAAACCTGGGCTACCATACCACCTCAGCAGTGCCACAGACTGATCACCTCCATGCCACGTCGAATTGAGGCAGTAATTAAAGCAAAAGGAGCCCGTACCAAGTATTGAGTACATATACAGTAAATGAACATACTTTCCAGAAGGCCAACAATTCACAAAAAATGTTTTTATAGGTCTTATGAGGTATTCTAATTTATTGAGATTGTGAATTGGTGGGTTTTTGTTAAATGTGGGCCAAAATCATCACAATTAAAAGACCCAACGGCTTAAACCACTTCAGTCTGTGTGTACTGAATTTATCTAATACACGAGTTTCACAATTTGAGTTGAATTACTGAAATAAAGGGACTTTTCCATGATATTCTAATTTATTGAGCTGCACCTGTATCAGTGTTGTGGAGTGTAATGGAATGAATAGGTAAGGTTGAAGCCTACTTGGTCCTGTGAGGAGGGTGTCTACATGAAAATCAAAAATTTGGTCCCAATTTTAAAGTGGAAAAAGTGAGTTAGCTTGAATGTAAAGAGCAGGGACAAAAACTGGGATGCTTGGCTTCCTTTTCTTCATCCCTTAATTAAGATTCTTGGTATGTCTGAAAAGAAACCTAATTTGCTTTTCACCATTCCTTCCCCTCCCCTTGCTCTCACTTCTTCTATCTCCTTGTCTCAGGCTTGTGCATTAGACCCCATGCTGGATGACTCTGTGATGCTTGCCAAACGTTTGAGGAATATAGACCAGCCTGTCACTCTGCGTATTGTGGACGACCTCCCCCATGGATTCCTCAGCCTAATGCAGCTTTCAAAGGAGACTAGGGATGCTGCCAACATCTGTGCGGAGCTTATTCGTGAAACCTTCACCCAGAAGGAGACACCACCGGAGACACGCAAGCACCAGAAGCTGAAACGAACCGATAGGGATATGTCAGCCTCTTCTGGGGAAGCCGGTTCTCTCTTCGTTGACCCTATTGAGGGAGAGGAGCTTGCTGTTGGGAGAGGGACCAAAATTGCTGATGGGGAGGGTTTAGTTGCTGTGGCAGCCCAGAGTAACACTGACGCTGGTGGTGTTGGGGCTTAAATAAAGTTTGAATTAAAAAAAAAAAAGGACTGCAGTTCACTGAAGAAGTGAAGGAAGGAAGAGTAAATGAAAGTCTGACAAATGTATGCAGTATAATGCCTAGAAGGGAGAGAGTCTTCGGGGGGTGGGGGGGTTGCACTCAGAGCTTGCACAGGTTTTGAGAGACAGAAAACAACAGCGACATGCGGAAATGTAACTTCTCCATTTTGCAGTTCTTGCAACTTGTCTGCACACCATCAAGCAGCAACGCAAATCTGTCAGACAAAACGAACATACCCTCAAAAGACAGTCGTGTTGAAGAATAAAATGGTAATTTAGCAGGTACCTAGATCAAAGACCAGCATTCACTCACACATGCACCACACATACTTAACAGAGTTGCCTTTAGGCAATAGAGGCTTGGACAAAAAGCAGTGCAAAAGATTGTTGAGATGAGGCCCGACTGGGTGATTCATCTAGGCCCTAATTAAATAGTGGTAGGAACAGTATATGCTCCTGTATAGGGTCATCCCCATCAAAATGGCCACTTGTCCTTTAGGGGAACAATTCTAAGTCACTCTTAATAACTCTGCATTGTGTTCTCCATTACACCAGTTTGCCAGTCAATACAGCTCACTTTGTGAATAGCTGTTGACTCTCTCCCAAATAGAATTATGGCTCTAACACACAACAGACCTAAAGGCTTGAAAATGGATGAACTGATTTACTTGTTTGTTGAGATTCTGTTGCAGTTTTTAATCTCATTATTAACCCTGTACAGTAGTATTACTTTTAGTTATCTTAATTTTCAGTTGCTATAGAATAATCCCATGTATTATGACAGGTTGGCTTGTTGATTTGAGCTTTTTGAGCCTTCTTAGTATTTCTGTTTCTTTAGCCACAGCTGCTCCAGCGTCTCTGGACCTTTCCCCACCTAAACTTGTCCTGCTCTCAGTAATGTACCCTGATAGTATTGAGGAAGTATAGAATACAGCACAGGGACACAGTGCCCTATCTAGATGCTGCCTTGTGTTTTTTGTGGTGCTGACATTACTAATGCAAACATTGCATTTTATTGATTACTACAGTGAAATTTGTGAAAATGCACTGAGATGCGTTATTATTTGTAGACAGGTACATGTGTGAAAATGTCCCCCTATGTACACATTTTTCAAGAACAATCAGAACCCCAGACTTTTAGGTCGATACCAAAAATGTTTTGGTATGTTAAGACTGAAAACAGTTGCTTGACATTCTGCATCCGCAGAACTGGGAGAATAGTCTTCAGCTATCGATACATATCACTGTACTGATTTCCTCTAAGTTTGTCTCCATTCCTCTCCAGGCATTATTGTTCACGACATCTTTGCACAGCACACACTGTGTCAAAGTACCACTTCCCTCAAGCAAGGGAATTTCTTGCCCGATAACTTGTTTGAAGAAATGGGTACAGGGGCTTTTGGGCAAACCTCAAGGACCCTCATCAAGAAAAATAAACGTTAGGCTGCTGTGTAAAGGCCACTAAACGTGTGTTTGGCAAACTGGAAATGGTTGGCGGTCCATATTTTGCATTTCCCGCAATCATATTGTGGGGTTGGCTTTGTTTTTGATGAGCTAAGGATGCTCCACTGAGCGGGAATCCCCCAAAGCACTTTGAAGTACACAGAAATGTCCTTTGGAGTGTCAGTCCCTCTGTCAACTTCTAAATATAGACGCCAACAATGCTGCCACTGTCCTGGGTCCTGTCCTTGCCTTGTAACAGGGCTGGGGTTGCCAGATCTGTAGAGAAGGATGGTGTGTGATGAATAGAATTCAGCTTAAGTTCCAAATGGCCCCCCCCCCCCCA